AAGCCAGGATATAGACTGAAGATTTGGCAGTTTAAAGTTTGTAGCTAGAGGAGCAGGCTGACCTACTTGTGATTAAGCATTGTAACTACAGTACTGTATATTACTCCACAGTGTTACTTTGCTCCTCCAAGTGGACATAGGGAAGACTGCAGTTTAATTTTGTATTAATTCCAAGGTGAATGTGGTGAAGTCCTCCCTAGGTCAAGTGCTGATTCCATATTTAGAATTCCCCCCCCCTCAAGAGGAAAAGACTGTTGTTATTCTGTCATGAGTTTGCCTCAATTTGTATTTGACAAATTAACTTGCTTTTGTTTTGGATTTGGTCAGTTTGAATATAGCACTTCTTCATTCACAAGTCTGATGTCTTGGGGATATAGGACTGAAAGCTTTGTGTACCCAAAGGAATAATGTTGTAAGAAGAAGAAATCGGTGTTTGCTTAGAAGTGTGATATGAATATGAGATGATAATCTTGAAAATAATTTCTGTAATATGTAGTTCAGTGGAATGCATGTATGCTGCCACATAAGGTTATTGATGAAAAAGACCTCTGAGTTTGCACTTCCCTTTGGTAATATCTTTTTCACACCTCAGTGATGTCACTGGGATGGAATGTATCCTATCTCAGATATCTATACATTTCTGATGCTCATAATGTGTTTCTGTGGGGGGAAATGTGCACCAAACAATGTGTACATTTGAAAAAAAAAGTGTGAGGTTAAAATTTATTAGAAACACCCTTGCAAAAAAAATGTGTGCAAGAGTTGCCTGCCTTCTGCTACCTAATTTCAGTTGTATTGACTGAAACAAAATGACAGAAATGAAGGTGTAAAGCAGGAGCTCCTGGAGAGAGTATTTCAAAATCAGGGTCTCACAATTGCAACGGCCCTTTATGTATCGCAGAGTAAAAGGAAAACGCATCACTTAAAGTACACAGCTTACATGCTCAGTAACAGACAGAGCAGAAAGTGGGAAGGCAGCATAAGTACGTTGGCACCAACACTTTAAATTAGTAAAGAGATGGGGAACCAGTAATGTCTTAACGTGTGATACGATCCTATATTGTGTGTATTCACCAATATAGGTGAAATATGGTCTCAAAACCAGTTCTGTAACAACTTGAAACCTTAGTCTGAACTGCAGATTGCAAGATATTTTCAGAAGAAGCATAAAATACATTAGCAGTAACATTAGCATGAGTACTTGGAGATCACTAGTATCTGCATAAACATAGCCATATTATCTTTATTCATGAACAGCCGGAGTTGGCACATTAGTTTAAGCTCATGGGATACATTCTGGACATCTAAGGCTACTTGGTGCCCACAGTGGATTTGGATGTATTCCCTGGACCTCAGACAATATGAAACTCTCTATCTGAAACAGGCTTAACTCCACCTTCTTGAGCAGACAACACATTCTGTCTGGATAGAGTGCCAGTGTATTCCCTCTCATCTAGTCCATTTGTGGTTCTAGGCACCTTTTAAGGTGCTTTACACACACTGGAACACACACATCCACACAGAGAGACACATGATTTGAATGCAAATAAGAAGCAGAGCTAGTTGTCCTACATTTCCAAGGAAACGTCACTTCAGATCCCTGAATGGGTTAATTGAACAGTTTCATGCTGATGTGAAATAGTAAAGGGAGAAACAAGATAAAACTCTGCAGAGCCTTCTAACATAAATGTCATGGGGATAACCAATGGCCTAACTTCCATAGCACCCCCCCCACTCTTTAAAATCAGCTCATTAGATAAGAACAGAATGCCATGCCCACAATCACAATCTTCTGAGCCCATCAGAAAGGAGTCCTTTGCAGTACTACAAAAATAAAAAGAAGTTAAGATCTGCTTTCAGAAGAAGAAATGAAATTAGATTATCTACCATTTGCATTTCTTGTGTATAATAGGAATTGTGAGTCACCTGATGACAGATAAAATAGTTGGCAGAAGTCCCACACAGCTTCTCGATGCTGTGGCAAAAGCTTTGCTATCTAACCAGGTGCTTTGATTTTGTCTTGATTTTTATGTCTAAGTGAGAAATTTCCCATGTTGGAATGCCAGTGACAAATTTAACTGAACAATGAGATTATATGTGAAACCAGTCACTATATAAATTATTCTCTCAAGGTGTTCAAATATATGTTAGACCTGAAATAACTTATATGTTTTACCTATACAGTGGTGCCTTGACTTATGAACTTAATTGGTTCCGGAACTCCGGTCATAACTTGAAATGGTCGTAAGTCAAAGCACCATTTCCCATTGAAATCCATTGAAATGCAATTAATCCATTCCAGCCAAAGAAAAAAAATCACACAA